GGGTTAAGGGAAAAGGGGGTGGTTAAAAGGACCCCCCGGAACTCTTTGTTCCGACGGGGTTTCGACTTTCTTCGCAGATTAAATTTTTTTGGGAGAAGGGTAGGCTAGTTTCATTTCACTGTGGCACAGCTCGCGTTACAAAACCCTTGATTTTGACCATTGCGCGAAAAAGGTACATCTCGGTGCCTTCCAGAGGCAGCTGCGACCCCGCCGAGTGGACGGTAACGCACAGCAGGTGGCGCGGTGCGTTACCGTCCACTCCGCTGGGTCGCAGCTGCCTCTGCGCGTCCTGGGGATGTACCTTTGTCGCGCGCCGGAGACGACTCGACGCCGCTGAGATCGGAGATCAAGCTCTGACAGGTCGCACGTCGCTCCTTTGACGCCGACGTGACTCACCCGTGCAGATCACATCAGGACACGGTCTCGACACGCTCGGTACGACGCCTGCGACCCGTCTTGGTTCAGGTGGCACGACGCTCATCGCGCCTACCAGCGCTGCCGTGCAGGTTGCCACGACGAGGTCGAGCACGCTTCTATACGCTCGCCCAGCCTTCCTTTCCATCCCATTAGGCAGCCTGGGAACGGTGGCGGTCAGAGGCAAAGCTTGCGAGGGGTGGTGGAACCACATGTCACGGCTACTGCCGGCTCGACCCCACGATAGCCTCCGGAGGCTGACTTTGAGGCACCATCATCGGACGATGTCGGCGAGTTGAGTCGCGCTCGCGGTAGCCAGATAACCTCTCATACTAGTATCATCGGCCATGGCCGCAGGAAGCGCGGGGGAGGGCGCTGGGAGCAACACGGAGCTCCGTTGGACGCGTTTTCAAGATTAGCGTGTCAGAGTGAATTGGAACTAGCCGTACGTCAGTATATTCGCGGCGGCAGCGGCCGGGGGCGGAGCGCGTACATAGACAGTTGTTATGGCGCGCATTCCGAAAAATTTCCAGACACGTGGCGGCAAAGTCGATGCCTCGGTCGTTGTATTCAGATCAATTCTTTTGGAGAAGCTGCACCGCGTGGGGATCCAACGGGACGAGATGACCGAGGCTCGGCTCGCGGCCATCGAGCGAGCAAGAGAGCCAGCACAAAGGCCCGCGCGCGAGAGCTCCAGATGGGTGGCCCTGCAGACCACAAGCGCCCGCGTGGATGCCCTCGAGCTTCAGATCTTCAACCGCACATTCCCATTCGCGCGCCACGGCGGTTCGGCCCTCGGCCGCACGGAGCGCCTCGCCAAACGCCTCGCCAACCGGGTCGACCTCGAGCGGACGGCCATGACCATTCCTGTCGGCGCCGTCGTGGCGTGGGAGGGCGAGACGGAGTACTCGTCGGACGAGGAGTAGTCGTAGTGCAGTGTCACGCATCAAGATACACACGGCGCTCCCTCTGAGATTTGATTGAGATGCAGATGAGCTCGCAAGCTCGCGCGTGTAATTCGTCGATCGGCCCGTCATGTGCACACATCTCACTGAGATTGTTATTCAAATTCCATGTTCACAGCAATTGTCTCCCCTTTTTTTTCACCACCTGAGATCCCGAATCTCAGCCCTGGAGGCAAAACCGAATACAGTGCCAAAATGACAGACTCAATACTGGCCCTAAAATCCGCCAGCCTGCTGTCTGCTGCCTCTACTCCCAGCACGACGCCCTGGTCCCGTGCGAGAGCTTCAGGGATCCACACGGGGCCACACACCGGGGCCGTCTAAGTCGATTTGTACCCGGATTTTGAAGATTGTGGCAAAACCGCGGAGTCAAAAAATGCGTTTAATTTGCGCGCCTGCTGTCCGCCGCCTCCGGCGGCGCTCCGCGCCGCTCCGCGGCGCCTGCAGGCGCCTACGGCGCCTGAAGGCGCCTACGGCGCCTGCGGCGCCTCCAGCGCCTGCGGCGCTGCCGCTACGCGGCAGCTCTTGCGCCTACGGCGCAGGGCGCCTGCGGCGCCCACCCCCCCCCGGGAGCCCCCCTCCAGCCGGGGAGCGCCCGTCGCTTGCTGCCCCACACTCGCCACTGCCGGTAGTGCCAGTGCGCGCCAGTCCCGTAGGTAGGTAGGTAGAAAGGTGAAGAACAGCCAGGCTCGGACTGGACACCAACGCGGTATGGGTGGACGCTGGACAGATGATGACGACACGCACGAGCGACACACAGACACAACAGGCTCACAAGACACACAGCCAGCTGGCTGCCACACACCCTGAGTCGGCGTACACATAACTCAGGGCCACATCCTCCCCGTCGCCCCCCCCAGCACTCCACGGTGCCAAGGGCACAAACAAGGGCACAACTCAAACAACAGACGACAGGAAGTGACATGTGAGGCTAGAGCAGCTTGCTCTACCTCTAGCAATCTCACCGGCCTGCGAGGCACGGACGAGACCGTATGTGGGGTCTAGTGAGGTGTCTATGGACGCTCTCCTCATGGGCTAGCTGCCTGCGGCTAGCCCTTCTCGCACTCACAGGCGATGACAGTCCAATGTATGAGTGTATGCAAGCTGAGGCGCGTGTGCTAAATCTAGGCCGCACGTCGTGGCACTATGACGGAGGTAGACGTGCGGCCGCAGCGCGCCCACCACAGTCTTGGTGGGGCGCGCGTGTTAGTCCCGTGCCTAGGGTATTTTGGATTCCGCCGTTGCAACTGCCATGTCACGGCCGGTCGGCTGCAGCTCTCGCCTCGCTGGCGGCGCGGTCTGGTGCCGCGGCGCCCAGCTCTCCTGTGGGCTCGCGGCGGCTCGCCGCTGCGGTGCCGAACAATGTGATCAGTCTGGATTCGTCCCGGCGTGCCGCCGGTGCCGCTTCCTCGCCAATTTTTGGCTCGACCAGTTTGTCGACAAAACTGTGCCAGAGCCCCTGCTGCTCGACTGAGCGGCGGAGCCGGCCCGTCGCGGCCGAGAGGCGGTGCGCCGACACCGGGGCTACGGCTCGGGACCGTTTCCGGGCTGTCTCGGGCAAGTTCAAAATTTGATGATTTCATGACCTCGCCACTTTGCGGCTCTTTGACATCCACCTCGCGGCCCGCTGCGCGGCTCTCCGAGCGCGAGAGGAGTCGTCTACGAGGCGGCGGCGAGCGCAGGCGGCGGCGGCGCGGCGGCGCGGCGACGGATCGCGGCGCAGACAACGGCAGCAATCTGGCTGCTGCTTGCTGCTGCAGCTGCTGCTGCTGCTGCTGCTGCTCCGCCGCTGCCGATTGTGGACACGATTCCCCCGATCACCCCGCCCGCCCGCTCCGCCCCGCCCGCCCGCCTCTCCCCGCTTGCCCGCCCGCCCGCCCGCCCGCCCGCCCGCCCGCCCGCCCGCCCGCCCGCCCGACCACCCATTCCCATCACCATCTCACATACCTTCATATAGGCGCTCGAGACCTCCTCTCGCTGCCTACTCGCTGCCTCGAGGGAGGAGGGGAAGACGTAGGGTTGAGCTGGACTCGCCTTTCCTGAGGCCCCTCCCCGAAAGGGCAAGTATTAGCCACACGAAATCCGAGACCCCTCCCCACCACCCCAATCCCCCCACCCCCTTGCTCCCCTCCCCCCCTCGGGAGGGCCGAACTGAGGCGCCCCAGGGGACCCCGCAATTCCCTTCCCCCCTCGGAGGGCCGGACTGAGGCGTCGAGGGCCCCACTCTTTCCTTCGCATAGCGGCCACTCTTCGGATCGCTGGTCGAGCGACCCGGGGGATGCCCCGCGCGCCTGACCCAGGCGCGGAAACGAATCTGCGAGGCGTGGCCGCTCATGCGGCCCGATGGGGAGGAGGGGAAGACGTAGGGCGTGCTTGCGCGCCTTTCTGAGGCCCCTCCAACCCACCCGCGCTAGGTCTCGGGGGACGAAGGGGTCACACCCGACGACCTCGGGAACTAGCCGGGGCAGTCGGAGAAGGGGCAACTCCGTGCACTGACGGTCGGCCGTCAGAAAACACGCCTCCGTGGCTCGGGTTACACCAATCCTCGCTACCCAACGCGGCCAAAGGATATCCACCTCGAGAACCTCGAGAACCTAGGGGGGGGAAAATTCTCTTTTTCACCCAACCCCTGTTTTCAGTCGACCGCTGCCGCGGGCCCCCCGGGGCCGCTCGGCCGCTCGGCGGACACCACCCGCCAACGGCATATGACCACCAAGTTCCCCGCGCCGAGCTGGGCGACGGAGACCACCCACGCCAACCTCGCGCTCGAAGTGCGGAGCGGCGGGACGCTTCTGCGCCGGCACGAGCTCCCGCGCGGCCGCCGCGTGTTTGTGATCGGGCGGCAGGCGGACGTGGCCGACGTGGTGGTCCGCGACGACGAGACGGCATCGCGGCAGCACTGCGCCATCGTGCCGCGCGGCGAGCGCCTCTACCTCATCGACCTCCGCTCGACGCGCGGCACCTTTGTCGACGGGGCGCGCCTCCCGCCGAACGAGCCGACCGAGCTGTCTCCCGGCGCCAGGCTGGCGCTGTCGGACGCGCCGCCGTACTCGATCGAGCTCGTCGGCCTCCCGCGCGCCGGCCTTGCAGCCGCCTCCTCGGTGCCCATCTCCATGGCGGCGGGGGGGTCCCCCGGGGGGCGGCAACGTGCCGCCCCGGTGCAGCGGTGCCCTCTGGCTGTGAGCAGCGTCTCTTCACACCTGCAGCTGTGAACAGGTGCCGTCCCGGTTCTCGGGCGACCCGTCCTACTACAACCAAAAGTGGGACCCTGACGCGGCGGCCGCGAGGCGAGACGAGGCGCTTCAGTTGGAGACGAACCTCCGCTGGTCACCGCCGGCGTGGGCGGTGATGGGGACGGGCGCGAGCCTCGCGGTCAACCTCGTCGAGGGCGGGGAGGTCGTCCAGGCGCTCGGCCTGCGGCAGAGTGATTCGTAGTGGATGGTTCAGAGTCATTGCTGGACTCTCTGAGCCAGATGACTCAATCTCCCGCTATCTCCCCCTATCTCCCCCAATCTCCCCCAATCTCCCCCAATCTCCCCCAATCTCCCCCAATCTCCCCCAATCTCCCCAGTCTCCCCCAATCTCTCTCAAGTAGTGAATGCGTCTCAACCAGGCGCTCGACCTGAGCCAGAAGAAGGCGTATGTGCTCGGCCGCTCCCGCGAGCAGGCGGACTACGTCGTCCCGGACGAGTCGGTCGTGTGTCCGGGACACGTCCACGACATGTCCGAGACACGTCGCCGATAGGCGGACTACGTCGTCCCGGACGAGTCGGTCTCGCGGCCGCAAGTACCACACCCCCCCAGAGTCTCGAATCCAGTGTGGGTTCAGCTCCGTGGGTGGTGTGGTAGGTCTCTCGGCAGCACGCGGCGCTGATGCACGGGCCTCCCGACCCCCCCCGGCCCGGCGAGGCGCACGAGGCGCTTCTCACGCCGTGGCGCTGCCGCTGCGGCTGGGAGAACCGGCCGACGAACGGCGTCTGTGGCGGAGGCCGCAGGCACGCAATCTCCCACAATCTCCCCCAATCTCCCCGTCTCTCCCGCAATCTCCCGCCATCTCCCGCCATCTCCCCCGATCTCCCGCTATCTCCCCCAATCTCCCGCAATCTCCCCCTATCCCCCCCAATCTCCCCCAATCTCCCCCAATTTCCCTAAATCTCCCCCAATCTCCCGCAGGCCGTACGGGTGCGGCGTCAACCGCGCCGTCGGCTGTCCAGATTACCGGCACGCCACCGCCGCGCAGACGGCTCTTCACACCTCTAGCCGTGAGCAGCGTCTCTCCACACCTGCAGCTGTGAACAGGCCCGCCACCGCCGCGCAGACGTCGCTGCACGTGGCGGACCTCGGCTCGACCAAGGGCACGTTCCTCGACACGGGCGACGGCGTCTGGCGGCGGCTGCAGCAGCAGACGCCCATACGAGTGCCGCCCGGCGGCCGCCTCCGTCGGCGCGGCGAGTGCGAGGTGTGAGCAGCGCGTCTTCACACCTGCAGCTGTGAACAGGCGGCCGCCTCCGGCTCGGCGAGTGCGAGACGCTGGTGGTGCGTCCCGCGCCGCCCAGCCAGCCCGCGCACCATCCGACGCAGAGCATCGTGCCGATGGGCGCCGCCGCCCTCGCGGCGGCTCGAGCCGCCGCGGCGTCGCGCGCCGCGGAGGACGACAAGACGTCGGCCTACCGAAAGGCGAGCTCTTCCATCCCTTCACTCGTTCATTAGCGCATCCCACCGAGGGGCGATCTCCTCACTCAGATACCCAGTGCATTCACGCAGCCCGCCCTACCGAAAGGCGATGGAGGCGGCCGCGGCCCTCGTCGCGCCGCCCTCTCGCAAGCACGTCTCGGAAGCCTTCTCGGCGCTGCCGCCCCCGCCGCCGCCGCCAGACGAAGAGCAAGACGAGGCGGCGGAGGTGGCGGCGGCGGAGGCGGCCCAGCCTGAGCCGGGGTGGCCCGTGTCGGAGGCGAAGCGGCAGAGGGCGGGACCGGCAGAGGAGGGGTGGGTGGCGTGGGAGCAAGTAGAGTGAGGCGTAGAGCGTGAGCAGGCTAGATCTCTGGGGGCGACTCCGGACGCGCGGGAGCGTCCGGCTAGGACGACGTAGCTCGTACGGCTTTAGGGAGAGACGCGTTCGCGTAGCAGTAGAGCATCTGTGAGTGATGTGCGGCCGGTTCCACGACTGTTTGTTCATAAACACAATACTGAAACAATACTGCGGCGTGCGGGTCTCTCGTACTACGCGAGCGACCCCACAGCCGCCCAGGGCGAAAACGCGAGAGGTAAGGTAAGGTAAGGTAAACTTCTCCAGGATAGACTGTGGGACGATTGGACACAAGAAGACAGTGAGCTACCACAGGCGTCGTTGGCGCACATGCTGAGCGGCAACTGCGCTGGGAACAAGGAAGAGGCGCAGTCGTGGAAGCTTGACAAACACACGGCGAGGGCGACAGCAAGAGTCGAACGGGCGGCGCCTGACTCAAAAGACACAGCCGCATTCCTGAGACGCGCGAGGGCAGCCTCCTTAAAGGCAATGGGGTCTAGATTTGGAGCGCTCACCGAAGAGGAGTACGACAAAATAGCGCCCGTGATTGCCTGCACGCTGCCCGCACTCACGGACTCCATACCCGAAAGAAAGAGAGGGGAGCTCTCAGGAGAGGTGACGAGAGAAACTGTGGGGAAGGCAGCCTCGATTGCCGTACAGACATGGGTGCGAAACAACGACAAGACCAAGGCAAGGGCAGAGGAACGAGAGAAGAATAGGGTGGATAAAGCGCCTGTTTACGGCATGGAGGGTGAGCCACGCTGAACGTGCTGAACGTAGAGCCGCACCATTGCCACAAGTGACATTGTGGGGCGAGAGGCTCACGGCGGCGTCCTTGCCTGAGGCTGCAAGATCTGTCCTCCCTGTGTATTCATCCGCCGAGCAGAATGGGGCCGAGCTCATCTGCCGGGACTGCACCCGCGATGGCGACGGCGGCGGCATCGATGTGGGATCTGGGGCGGGCGCAAAGACAACACCGCGAACCGGTGACTGCACTTCCGAGGAGGGTTCCCCGCAGACGGTAGCGGCGAACCGGTTGGCAGCCGAGCATGTCATGCTGTAATGCGACTCTGAGCGCGGCGCGTCCTGCGCGGGGTCACGCTCTGGCACCGCATCGATGGCGGGCAGCACGTTGGGGTTTGCGACAGCGCCAAAGCCGTGGGATGCTGGCGTGGTGTTGGAGAAGTCAACGACCTGCGCAGGTGCGGGGTGTCAACCTGCCTTCTGCACCTACCACAGTGTCAACCTCGAGAGGCCATCTCGCGCACCGGGATCGCGGCCGCGTCGGGCACAAACACAGAGTCGCCGGGGCCTTTCGGTCGAAGGTCGGTGACGAAACTTTTTGCAATCTTCTTACTAGCTCTAGTGACGCTCAGGCGACGTGCCACCGTTGGACGACTTTAGTATTGGGAATACCTTTTCTTTTTGAAAAGGTTCACCTCCGCATGGAGAGACCGCCCTTCGGGCACCATCACGCCCTCCGGGCATACTCCGAACTCCCACACGCCAATACACGCGCGGCCGGCGCCTCTCATGCCCTTCTCCAGGCACACCGCGTGAAAACTGCGCGTACGTCCCCGCGCGCACGCAAACACGCGCAGCGCCATTTCAGAGCTGTGCCCATGTGCGTCTGCCCTGTGCTGGCGCCCCATGGCCGTCCCGCGCCGCCCGCACCAGCCACGCGCCCCTCGCACCACCAGAGTCAGCCGCATATCCACTCACGCCGCGACGCGCGCGCCGCAGCACACCTCACCAGCACACCTGCGCCTTTTTGCGCCCTGTGCAGGCTCTGCAGACTGCTTCTGGCATCTCATAAGCGGCTGTACCAGGACGCGCCGCGAGTGAGACGCAGATCCGGCACCGCGCAGGCGCGCACGCACGCCCGCACGCGCGCGCGCGCGCGCGCGCGCTTCCGCTCTCTGCTGCACAGACTGCCAGCCTGCACACACAGCATACAGCACCATGTGCACGCATACGCCTGACGATGCAGCCCGCACTCCACAACAATAGCCTGCCTCACGCCTCACCACGCCACCCCGCGCTCACACCGCCAGCAGCCCGATCAGAGAAACTGCAGCGCGCGCCTCTGCACGCCTGCTCCTTGCACTCTGAGCCTTCTCAATCCACCCCGTCGCCGCGCCTCCCCGGGCACACCGCAGCGAAGATGTGAGTCGAAGTATTGGATATCGGCCGAGCCTGCGCCTGCCGCACACAGTTCTTTTTACTGCCAAAGCATAAAAAGAAAAACACGAGGGCGACTTGCACTTTGGTCTTTGCACTTTGCACTTTGCACTAAGCGCAAATTTTACGTATGTGCATAGTGCAAAGAAAAAACACCGGAACCCACTTCCCCTCCCCCCCCGAGATTCAGAAAATAATTAACATTCTGTCTAAAGGCCCGGGTTCGGGTTTATCTCGGACATGTTTTTGGCCACACAAAGAAGTCACTGTGAGAAAAAAAAGAGAAACTATTTATCACCTTTAACAAACAGCGACGACCAGCAGCAACGACCTAAAGCAGCGTCCTGCCGAGTGTGTGTAGCACCGACGCAGACGCACCTCAGGCACTACACTACGACGGCTAGGCAGACCTCACCAGTCCGATAAGGATCAACTGGAAGGTTGAACCTCGAGCTTAGACAGAACGGGCGCGACAGACTCCAGGGGAGATCACGCTCTACTCGGGGCACCAAGGAGGAAAACCAAAACCGTTTGGGTGCCCTACAAAAACCCAACGGGAAAAAACCTAAAGGTCACACACCTCCCCCCCACGTCCCCCCCCCCTTGGGGACGTAGCGCACGCCCTTGCTCGGAGAGAGTGGGGGGGGAGGGGGGGTGGGGGAATAGGAGGAGCCAACGAGCTCGGAGTAAGGTCCACAGTAGAGAGGCCGGCATTTAAGGCGTAACTTCACCCTCGCTCACCTCGAGTATATCTAGGCGCCCTGGTGCAGTCGGTCTTCGGATCAGCGGCCAGCTTCCCATCTAGGGCAGGGAACCCCCAGCGACGCTAGTGTGGCCTACGGTAGCCATAGCTTGTACGCGATCCCGGGGCAGGGGGGTGTGGACTCTGGAGCTCCAAGAGAGGATAGAGAGAGGAAGGGAGATTGGTGTGCCGGTTTTTTGAGTTAGCAATTTTTTTTTTAGTATTGGGAAGGAGATAGTAGGCGCACGTGTACCTCCAATGTTTGTGCATGTGTGTGTCAAACATGCCGGGGGCGCAATTTCGCAACACGTCGATAGTCATGCGACATTCATGCGGTTCGATGCATGGCGGGCCCGCAGCCATCATTGCTCGAAGCTCACTCAAAAGTGGCGCACGCGAGCTGCGCGCTTACGAAGCACGAAAGCTGGCAGCTTTCCAGAGCAGTCAGAATCACAAGCTGCGTCTGGTTCCGTGACGGTATTGGACTCTTTTCGTGACGGTATTGGCGTGCCAACGAAATCGCAGGTACAATGTCGGCAGGGGAGCCAACCCTTTCTGCTTCCGTAGGTGAAGCTCTAAGTTGTGCGTGCTGTCCTTCGAGAAGTTGGCCGGGTAATGCTGAAGGCGTCGCTGAAGTTGGGCGGGTACTTGTGTGAGATTCACGTCGCGGTGCCGACGGAATTTTGCGCCACTCTGTGACAGCATCCATCCCAATTGAGCGTCAACGTAGCCATAACTTCCAGCAAAATCCTCATCACTGCCCCCCGCACGCCAGTATGCCTGCCGATGAAAGAGCCAATTGGCCGGGTGTACGCTGCCTATATTCTCGCGGTTGAACATGTGCACGCTGTCGATGTCTGACCTCTCTGCAAGCCCAAGTAGCCCACGCGCCGCTTGCGGAGTCACCACCACGTCGGCATCTAGTCTCATCGCCCAGCACGTTGTCGCAGTGTGCATCAGCAGGTTGAGGGCTCCGACGTCATTCCAGGCGATCTTAGGAGGCTGAATTGTCAGCACACGGATCGGATACATCGGCTTGTTCGCACGCACCACGGATAGCGCTGAGTGCTCCGACGTCGAGCAGTCGTCCACCACGGTGAAGTGAAACTGCTGCGCCAGGCTCTCAGGCCATGTGGCCCAACCGCGCATGATATTGTGGAGTAAGGCCGGGCTGTTGTAGTACAACACGCCGAGCGTCACAATTCGCTGCTCGCAGGCTGATGCCGCGGCAGCAGCGTTAACTTTGCGTGCCGAACACGCGGCCACGGTGCGCGGCGGCCACCCATCCCCCTGTTCCTGCACATTGCGCGGGGTGTGCTGGTGACTCCAGCGTGGAGAAATGCACAAATAGCCTCGGTGCTCCTTACCGCCATCAGCAGTACTTTGGAGCGTTTCCGCTTGCGCTTCAGCAACTGTTGCCATGGCTATGGGCAGCGCACCCGAGAGGCCTCCTAACCCTTCAGCGAAATCTGAGTCCGGAAGCGCAGTGACGTCTGGCAGCGCAGTTGAGGATGCAGCAAGCGCGGCGCCGCCAGCGGCGGTGACCAAGCCGCCAGAGACGGTGGCCAAGCAGAGAAGAATGCCGAGCAGGCTGGACCAGCCGAGGCGGCGGGCCTTTGAGTTGCGGCGCCACATCACCGTGCCGACGACGGCCAGGGCAGCGGCCGCGGCGGCGACCTGCGGCGGACCCGCCGCGAGCCACGAGAAGGCGCTCGCGAAGAAGCCGGCAAGCGCCGCCGTGCCGGTGAGGCGCGCCGTGGCGGCGGCGAGGCAGGTGGCCCACGCCGCGCCGCGAGCCCCCTTTCCGCTCGCCGCGGTCGGCCAGGAGGCGCCGCAAGCGATGGCGAGGAGGATGAGCACGATTGCGGGCATGAGAAGCGGCGAGCAGCTCACGAGCGAGGACGGATTCGAGGCGACGGCGGGCGAGAAGGCCGAGGACGCCGCCGAGGCGACGCCGGATGAGAAGGCCGAGGACGCCGAGGCGACGGTAGACGAGAAGGCCGAGGCCACCGCCGTCGGTCTAGGCACGGCGGGCGCGCAGTGGCCGAAGGCGGGCATGCAGACGAGGAGCAGCCACCGGAAGGCGCCCTCGGCCTTCGTGTAGCCGCCCTGCACGCAGTTGGCCGCCGCCTTGAGGGCGGCGCGACCGCCGGCGCCGCACGTGCCAGCGCCGGCGCCGCACGTGCCAGCGGCGAATGGCGCCTTGCCGGACGTGGTCTGCGGCTCACGGCGCCGGTCCGGGCGGCGGCCGCGGCCGCGACCGTGGCTCCTGCCAGTCTTCGGCTTGCGCCAGCGCCTTGCCTTGCGCCGGCACTTCCTCGAGCGCCGCGACTGCAAGTCCGCCCACTTCTTCCGTTGATCGGCAATGAGATCGAGCGCGGCCATCGCCTTCTTGAGCCGCCCCTCCCAGTGCTCGCGCTCCTTGGCGGCCTCGGCCTCAGCCTGCCCCGCGCCCGCGCCCGCGCCAAGGGGCTTGGGCGCCACGGGCGCAATGCCGCCGGAGGTGGGGACTCCCGGCGACGGCGACTTCTTGCCGTCGGCGGGCGTAGCCTGGTAGCTGACGCTCTCGCCCAGCCGGCGGACTGCAGCCTCGACGCCGTCCACGTAGCCCGGTCCGGAGCCGCTGCGGGCCGACGCGGGCCCGCTCTTCCCCGCCGCCATCGGCGTGGGCAGGCCCGGGTAGCAGGTGGTGTCCTGCAAGCGCGATAGGGGCACGCGGGAAGGGAGATTATTACCGGTGGGAGAGCGAGGAGTGCCAGGAGAATGCTGCGGCGCGCTCGCCGCTGGGTCGGGCGTGTTGGAAACGGTCTTGGCCGGCTTCTCGACCTCCTTGGCAGCCTCCTCGGCGACGGCCTCCTCGGTGGCGGACTCCTTGGCGACGGGCGCCTCCTGGGAGGCGGCCTCCTTGGCGACGGCGGACACCTCGGCGGCGGCGGGCTTGATGGTCGCCTCCTCGGTGGCGGACTCCTCGGCGACGACGGGCTCCTCGGAGGCGGCCTCCTCGGCGGCGGCCTCCTCCTTCACGACGACGTCGTTCTTGACGCCGCACGCCTGCGCGAGGGAGAAACGTAAATGTTTGGAGACGGGGTCACCGCAGGGACAATGCCGATCCTGGCGTAAAAGTGCGCACCTCAGCTCCGAGCAAAGGCGGCAGCGTCAGGCTCGCGCGGCGGCGCTGATACCACTCCTCATACTCCGCACTGGAAGCGAAGTAGCCACCGACCTTGACGGAAGCCGTTGGCCCGAGCTCGGTCTGAACCTGGGCCCCCTCCGCGAAACAAAAGCTGATTGGCACCTTTGCGAGGCTCCGATGAAACACGTGGGGGTTGTCGAACCAGACGCCCTTTGTTGATCTCACAACCAAGAAAGCCGACTCGCCCTCGCTCTCATTGAAGTCGACCATGTAGCGCCTCTCGGCGCGCGTCCTGCATGCGGCGGCGGCCGCATGGGCAATTCCAGCGCGGAGCGGGCGGCGCAGTGCCGGAGCCCTGGCGCGGGCGTGGCGCGGCAGGGCGCGGCGCGGGCGCGGTGGCGCGCAATCATGCTGGCCGGGGATCGCGCCGCGACAGAGTACAGGGGGAGGGCGGAGGCGCGGCTCGGGCGGCGGCGCGAGCCCCTGCACGCGTCGCGCGGGCGGGGAGGGAGAGGGAGGGGAGGGAGAGGGAGTGGCGGGGGGCGGGCTCAGCGGCGCGGGGCCCCGGCCCTTGCGCTGGGCGGCGGGCGCGGCAGGGCGCTGCACCTCAAACGGCGTTGCGGGACGGCGTCCAGTCTGAAGGTCGCGCGAAAGAATTCCTTTGCCCTCGAACTGGTGTGTGTGTGTGTGTGTGTGTGTGTGTGTGTGTGTGTGTGTGTGTGTGTGTGTGTGTGTGTGTGTGTGTGTGTGTGTGTGTGTGTGTGTGTGTGTGTGTGTGTGTGTGTGTGTCCTGTCACTGCATCTCTGCCGGTTCCTCCCGTCGCCTCTTCTTTGTTCGAATGTTTTATACAGTACTCATCGGGGGCGACGCAATCGGCGATAGGGGCGCGTCGCTGGCGAGCGAGGGCTACGGGCCAGTTGTCACTTCGGCGGCGCACCCAGCCTACCTCGGTGCGCGAAGGCATACCAACAACACGGCGGAACTAACCGCCCTAGCCGAGCTCCTCCGGGCTCTCCTGTCCTCGTCACCGCAACGAGCGGGCTCACGCGGAGTAGTGCGGACCGACAGCGAGTACGCGGCGGCGTGCATGATGGGGAGGGTGACCCCCAAAACGAACAGACAGCTAGCGGAGCGCCTTCGTTCCCTCTGGCGACGCCTTCGCGCCAAACACACCGTGACGTGGAGGCATGTGGCGGGTCACAGCGGCAACAAATGGAACGACTACGTCGACGAGCTAGCTGCTCGCGGCAGGCAAGGTGACAGAGGCTCAAACGCTGCCGAGTGGGCGGACAACACCATCCCGACGGACACTCCCGACGAGGGGAGCGACACGGAAGGACCCGCCCCCGCCCCTCGGGGCGGGGGCCCCCGCCCCCCCGGGGGGCCCGTTGGGGCCCCTCCAGGGGGCGACCCCTCCGGGGAGGCCGGCCCTCCCCGTGCCGGTTCTCCCCAACCAACCCCGCCGGCAGCGCGAGCTGCCGGCCATATTGAGCGGTTCAACCGCGTCGCGCACTCGTCCCAACCGAGGGCCGCAGACTCGTTCTGCGCGCCAACGGCTGGTGACGCTGTGTTGCCCTTGAGCTAGTCCTTCCCCGGTCGCCTAGCCTCTGCGCTGTCTGGCGGACGCCTGTATGCCATGCACGCGGACCACGCTTGCGTGGATACGTGGCTGGCAGGCTGACCCGTGTGCGGGGTAACCCGCGCACGGGGAAGCTTCACGGGTTCGAGCCGTCAAACATTGAGCAGCGGAGGTGTGCCGAGGGGGACCGGGAGGCGGTAAGCCGTCGTCGCCCGGCGCTGCATGCAGCACCGTGGCGATGGCGCTAAGAGGTTCCTCTTTTCCGCGCCCCCCCCGCAAGGCGCGCGATACACGTTTTTCAATCCATCCTTCACGAAGCCCTCCCATGTAGCTAGCGTTCTTGGCGAATGTCTCGAAGTGGCCAGCAGGCGCTGTCTGCTCGCGGCCTGTGCGGGCCGCTCGTCCTCCTCGCCCTTCTTTTGTCCTCCCGTCCCTCCCCTCCACCATGGCCTCCTCGGCACTTCTTTCTCCATCCGCCTCGCCCTGCCTTTTCGTATCGTGCCGTTCGCCCTCCATTCGGTGACTTCCATGGCTGTCCGCCTCCTTTTGGGTGGCGCTCTCGATACCGTTGCGTCAACCTCGACGTCGCTGTCGCCCTCCCCGTCCCCGTCCCCGCCGTCGCCCGTGCCTCGGTTCGCGTCATCGGTAGCGTCTCCGTTGCCCCCTCGTGCTCCGCCGTCGCCCTCTCTGCTCGGGCCGTTCGCGATTTCGCTCCTCCTGCGTGTCGCCCCTCCGTCTCCTCCCCTGCCTTCGTCGTCATCGTCGCTGTCGCGAAAGCCCTCCGGTCCCTCGATTCCCTCGTCTATCCCCTCCGCTGCGTCGTCCCAGTTTATATCCTCATCTTCTGTGCGCGTTGTCGTTCCCTCCCCCTCTCCATCGTTGTCGCCTCCGTCGACTGTGGCGCTGCCTCTTCCCTCGCCTCCGTCCTCCTCGTCTCGCCTGCCGTCGTCCCGTGTCTCCTCGTCCTCGCCATCGCCTTGGCCGTTGTCTACCTGTTCATCGTGTCCCCTGCCGCTTCTGGCATCGCCGTTGGCTTCCTCTCTCCCCCTTTCCTCCCCGCCCCTCTCGCTGTCTGGTGTTAATGGACCCCCTTCCTCTCCCTCGCCACCGTCACCGTCACCATCCCCGTCGCTCCCGCCCTCCATCCCCGCCGCCCTTTGTCTCACACTCGTCTCTGCCATGTCCGCCGTCGCCGCCGTCCTGTCTGCTGCGCTCGGTGCTCCGAGGTACAGTCGCTTATTGTTGCTCAGGATTAGCTCACGCACCAGGACAGCCTCCTGCTCGTTACTTTGGCTTGCCGATATGCATCCAAAGTTCCACGCTAGCTCCTCCTTCGTCACGTCTATCTTTTTGCAGTATCTCCCCTTGAGAGCGATCGTCATTCGGCGGTGATGGACTGCCGCGCTGGTGGACGAGTGCGGGGCCACGCGCGAACAAGTGAGGCCGAGGGTGCGCTGCAAGCTGTACGTACGTCTCGGCGGTCGGCGCAGCAAGATAGTCAGTGGGGCGTGGTAGTTGGAAGATAGTGAGGAATGGATCTAGAACCGTCGTGCATCCTTCGTGCCACACGTGTGTCGGCGTCACGTGCTACCGTTATCATGACGAGACACAGACAGCGACATATACAGCGGAGAGCGCACACAGCACAGTCACACCGCACAGCACACAGCACGCAAGCACACTGTACACACAGGCACTGTACAGGCATACTCTACAGACACGTCAACAGGCGGCAGTCGGCGCACGGAGGTCCCAACACCCAAGGTAAGCCCGGGGGCCCGCAGCGCATAGGTACAGGACAGGTACAGGCACACAGGGCGGCACCCCCCGGCCTCCGTGCGTAGCTGCCTGGGGGCGGGGAAGTTTGCCTTCGAGCGTGGATTTTAGCTGGGCAGTCCTTCAGTCTTTCGGATAGCCGTCTGCGCGGTAAACAACTGACTCCGCGGTAATGTCGGAGGCGCACGAGCCGCTTTGCTTGATCATCAAAACGCCCCAGCTAGGCGCGGCCATGCGGCGGTCATCGTCGGATGCAAACTCGCAGCTGCCCTTGACGCAGCCGGTGCCCGATCGCACTGTGAGGTTCCGGCAGATGCCAGGGCACTGGCCGTCCTCATCTGCAGAGAGGGCCCAGCAGACAGGTTCAATGTCTTTAGACGAGTCAGGCGCGCCAAACTGGAATCCTGCGCAGTCCGATTGCGATGTGCACGCAGCCTCACAAGATGGGAAGGTGCGCGCGGACTCAACCCGAACAAGGCCGACATCCAAACACGTTGCCTCAAATCGAGAGTAGCCTGCCACCTCCTGCAAGTACGGCCAGCAGCCCGGGA